ACCTGAAATGACGCCTCGACATACCTGAGACTCGATCCCAAATCCAGGGAGAGCAGACGTGCTCCCCCTTCGTGCTCCCGAGGGCCGCCTCCCCCCCTTCCAGCGGTATCCTGCTCCCTGCCTGACGCCCCGCACACTCACACCCTCTTCCCTCGCCATCCTCGGCCGCTCACAGGACAGAACCCAGAACGCACAACACAGGTCCACGGCCACAGCCAGAGGCGTCCTTGTTGTATTCAGAGCAGCAGAGGGTTTTGGCAGGCTTGGGGCCACAGGACACGGAGGTCGGGGAGTGCTCTTTGCCCTGAGACGATCCCAGACACAGCCGTGGCCATGGCCCGCTGCTTCTTGGGCAGTCTCTGCCAGACTTCCTGCAGCGTTGGTCCTCAGAGCCAGCCCTTGGCCCTGCAACTCAGATACTCTCTTTTCCCCATGCCTGGTGTCCGGGCCGTCTCCAGCTCCCCCGTCTCCTCCCCCCACCCCTGCCCTCGAGCACTGGGAGCCCTGCAATCTGTCTGAGTGACAGAACCCTCACAGCGCTGAGGGTCGTGAGATGGGAAACCAGGGCTGAGCCGCGCAGACTTCAGACAGAAGGCTCCCCACTGCCCCTGTGGGGGCCTCAGCCCTCCACCTCCAGCTTCCACACCCAAACATATCAGAGTGCCAACAGCTTAGACGAGATTTGCCCTGCAGAATTCCCGCCATCCAGTAAGGCATAATAAACAGAAATCGTGTCTTCTGTCCAAAGCACCCCAGATCCTGGGAGCATCCTCATAGTGCCACATGCGGAGGGCATGGTCACGTGAAGTCACTGGCGGTGAGAGCCCAACGACGAAGCTGGGGGTAGCAGATGCCCCAGCAGTCCACCTTCTCATGGGACCGATTCCTGCCAAGCAGGAGCACGCCCAGGACGTTCAGAAGGCAGAGAGCACCACCTCAGGACCCTTCCGGAAGTACAGACACATAGGAATGCGGGTCCTTCTGGGACAGCTGGGTCTTCATGCCTTGTGGCAGGCCCCGGCTTCAAGAGCACTGGGGAGCTGCGGGGGCAGCTTCCTGTGGTGGTGGACATGCCCCCTCCCAGGACAGTTCTTCGGTGAGCCTTCTGTCACTTACAGACTCTTCTCCGTATCTGCTTCCTCGTCCTTACACGGCTCAACACTGGGTGATCATTAACTAAGTACAGAGGACGATTGAGTGGTCTGTCACTGGACCTTCACTGACACATTCTTCTTGGCAGAGAACTTCCAGACCCCTCAAAGTTCCAGAACATTCGGTCGTCTCCTGGGACCCTGTCCTGGAGGCTCGCCTGGACTCATTTTGAATTTACCATAGCGAGCAACCTCACAAGCATGCAAATCTGTGACACAAAGGAAAGTTATGTTGACCTTTTTGTTCCTGAAGGCTGGGGTGGTAGTGAGGGTGGCCTGCTATCGAGGCTACTCAATTTTTGTAAGACGATGCAACAGGATCTTCAGTGCGGCTAACAGTAAAGACTCTCCTGCAGTTGCCGCTTCAAAGATTAGCTGCCCTTTTTTTTTTTTTAAGAAAAAGTCCCAAAATCAATACAGCTTTTATTGCATCTTTAAAATATCACAAATAAGTCTGAAAAATCATCCGGCATCTTGCTGTTTCTATAGCTGGACAACTTAGATCTTATGCATCAGCCTGCTGAACTGCTCCTTTTTCAGAAACATAGATACCCCCTCCCCCCAAATTTTCTGATATCCTTGTTTTTAACGGTTGTGGCTTGCTGAATCAAAGCAGCTGAGTTTGATACAAGTTCAATATCATTTCTTTCAATAATTAACTCATCGTTCTGGGCTTGAGATACAGAACAAGCAACACCTGGCCTCACCCAAATCCTGCCGATGTATTTTTAATCCAAGAAATTTCAGATTTCGACAAGAGAACCATTCTCCTGGGTAACAATGTTGATGGGGAAGGGAGCATACACAGACCTCATCTTGTAACGGAAGCCTCTTGTTAACGCCCTTGACCATGTTCTGTGCACGACTACAAATAGTGCGGCCAATAGCCATTCTTTTCTAGTTCCCACCATTTGTCAACTCAGAGTCTCTTCTTTTCCTTTCCAAGGAGACTGAGTTCTCCTTGATGTGGTTGAAGTCCCTCCAGAGGGTTCCTCCGGGGGCCCTTCACGCTCGCAGTGCGTCCCTTCAGAGCGATGTCGACATTTTCTGGAACGTCGACAGTCTGATTGCTGAGAATGGTCTTCCTTCTCGCGGTAGATGTGGCAAAGAGCAGATTAGCTGCATTTTAAAACGATGTCAGGGAATGGCATTTTAACCTCACTGCGGTCCATTATGCACGTAGCAAACGTTTGGCCAAGAGAATCAATATTTATGAAGGTGTCCCACGGGAAGGGCATTTATCCTCCTTAGGTCCTGCAGCCCGTGCTTCTCAAGCTTAGTGTGCCTTCAAACCGGGGGATTTTGTTAAAAGGAAGATTCTGGGTCAGCATGTGTATGTGTGATTTATATATGTTATATATATATAATGTATTTGGATATATACAAAGAATTATGAGTATATATATATATATATTATGGACTAAATTATGTCCCTGGACCCCAAATTCACATGCGGAAGCACCAAACCCAGTGTGACTATATTTGGAGGTAGGACCTTTAAAGAGGTAATTGAGGTCACAAGGGTGGAGCCCTCGTCCAATAGGACTGGTGTCCCTAGAGGAAGAGAGAGACACCAGGGGTGTGTGCACCCAGAGAAAGGGCCACGTGAGGACATAGGGAGAAGACATCGGGGGAGAAGTTCTCACCAGGAACCAACCTTGCCAGCACCTTCCATTTCCAGCCTCCAGAACTATGGGAAAACAAATTTCTGTTGTTTATGCCACCCAGACTGCGGTATTTTGTTAAAGCAGCCAAAGCAGATTCATACAACACACACGCACACACCCTAGCTCCGTCTCCTAAGTGGGCAGATGCAACTGAACACCTCAAAAGTACTAAGCACATCTCATCCCAGGTCTTTGTTTCTAAACGCCATGCTCTATTTATTGAAAGGGTGTCAGGCTCCTTTGGCAAACGGCTGATTCCCAGGGAAGCCCAGGAGCCCTAAGTAACAGGGCAGGGCTCAGTGAGAGAACTGCAACAACACACGGTTGGTGGTGCCAATCCCATGAGAGCCAACGTTCTGATGAGCACCGGGAAGCTTCTGCTGTGCCCATCCTGCAGAGGAGAAAACTGAAGCACCAGGAGGTTGGATGAATGACCTAGAGTGAGGCAGCTCGTAAGTGCCACCAAGCCATCCCAGCGCCGCTACTTCCCCCAGACTCGGCGGGAGTGTGCCTGCAGCAAGGAGAAAGGGCGCTGCGCCCCCGGGGGGGGGGGGGAACAGACACGGACTCCAGCTGGGCTGGCTGTGGGACAGGAGGCAGGGTGCCTCACCTTCTTGGAGCACAGAATCTTCCCCTTAAAATGAGGGTAACAAGCACTTCATGCCCACCTTCCCTCTAATTTTGAAACTTTTATTATAGAACAGTAATCCCCCTTATACCCATAACCAACGCCAAGAATGATCAACTCACAGCTAATCTTGTTTCTTCTACATCCCCACCCTTCCCCCCCAGCCCCCAATATTTTGAAGCAAATTCCAGACACACTGCATCTGTATTTCAGGATCTCTAGAAGATAAGGATTAAACACGCACACTCTTTATTTTCCTCGTAAAACTTTCCTTCTGAACATCCTGTTCCCCCCTAGCTTGGGAAGGAGGACCCCCAATACTTTGGTTTTTTTCCAGAGGAAGGGTTTGGATGGCCCGGGGCGGGAGGTGGGGCTGGAGGCGCAGGGAGGAGCGTGGGGCAGACCAGAGGAAAGCCTCGAAGCCTGGCTGAGGTTCACAGTACAAAACCAGCCACCGGGGATTCTAGCATTGCATTTGTGTGATTTTTTTTCTGCTTCAGAACCTGGACTGCCCCTGCGATTCTGAGAGCTTGGAGAACACCCTCCACCCCTTCATTTTGTGCCGCGACTACCTTACCTTCCTTCATCACAGAATCTATTTTACCTCAAGAAGAACGTTCCCTCTGAAGTGGTGAGGTGCCCGACTTACTAGGGGATGGGGAGGAGGGCCCCCACACTCAGCGACAGGAGAGGGCAGGAAATGAGACGACCGCCGGAGGTTCTGGCCCCTCACTGATGGGCAAAGCATGTGTCCCCAAGTAAAACGAGGAGGACGCACGTATACGAAGTTGGATCGTTAACGTCGTTACAAGTTTTCATCTCTGAAATGCTTAGTGAGAAAAACAAAGAAAGAAAAGCACTTGGCGGGTGAAAAATCCCAACAAAACGGTCCATCCTCCCGCGAGGGGGTGCCCGTTTGCCCGCCCGGGATTCAGCCTGTACCCACCCAACCCATGGGAAAACGGAACTGTCTGGGGTCCCCCGGCAGCTCGGCACCGCGCGAGCCCAACAAGGAAAAGCGAATCAGCAGCGGGCACCGCCCGGGTTCCGCGCGGCTGAGCCGCCGCCCCGGGACAGGGCGCACCCGGGGCGGGGCCGGGGGCGGAGCGGACGGATGGGGGCGGAGCGCACCCGGACCGGGCGGACCGGGGGCGGGATGGGGGAGGGGTCTGGGCGAGCCCGGCACAAGGTGGAAGGCGGGGTGGGGGGGTGCTGGTGAGGAGCGGCCCGGGGCGGGCGGGGAGCGGAGAAGTGGGCGGAGGAGCGGGCCCGGGACTGGGCGGCCCCGGGTAAAGGTCGGGGCAAGGCGCGGGGCGGGACGGACGGGCGCGGGGAGGGGTGAGGACCGGACCCGGGCAGGGCGGGGCGCGGAGATCGGGGCGGAGGCGCGGTGCCCAACTGGGCGGCCCCCGGGCGTGGGCGGGGCGCCCAGCTAAAGGCGGAAGGACTCGGCTCGCCGGGCGGCCCAGCGCAGAGCGGTTTCCTTTCCTCGCGCAGCGGCGCCCCCGCCGAGCCCCCAAGTCCCGAGCCGGAGCCCCCAGCCCCGCGGGCGCCATGCGGGAGCAGCTGCTGTTGTTTTGCAACTGGAGCACGCTGGGCGTGTGCGCCGCGCTCAAGCTGCCGCAGATCTCCGCGGTGCTGGCGGCGCGCAGCGCGCGGGGCATCAGCCTCCCAAGTTTACTTCTGGAGCTGGCGGGGTAAGGCCGGGGCGGTTGCCCTCTCCCCACCGTCTCTGCGGCCTGGAAGGGCCGGGAGCCCTGGAGCGGCGCGGGTCTAACTGAGTAGAACCGGAGAGTGGAGCCGAAAGCGCCTGGCCTCTGGGGAGGCACTTCCCGTGGCCGCTCACCTCCCCTGATTAGTTGCGGCTCACCGCGCGGACGGCGCACGCCCGTTTTACAGATGCGGAAACCGACACCCGGCGAAACCTTCACCCCGCCGGCAGCCACAGACCAACTGAGCGGCTTTGAGCGAGCCATTTGCACCTGGAGGCTCTGTCATACACATCCTCCCCCCCTCCATCACCCCTTTTCTCGGGTCTCGGTTTCCTCGCGTGTAAAATGAGGGGTTGAACTATAAATTCTAAGGATCCTCTGGCTTTTAAGAGTTACACGTGGGGGGAGGGGGATTCAGAGAATGGGGAGCTCTTTGGAGGGAGAAAAGGAGGACTTGAATCCGGCCCCAGCCGGCCAGAGAGGAGCCAGGGTCGCCCCGAGAGCGCTCATCCGTCAGAAATCCGGAGTGGCTGCCCTGACTCCATATTTAAGGATATAAACGCGAAAAGCAGAGTTGTAAAACTCGGTTGGGAAGATTCGAATTGGTGGGAAAGTAGGCACATGAAACCCGGCAGTCTAGCCGCGCGCCCCTGGCAAGGCCGGGGCCTCCGCACCTCTCTCCTCGCCGGTCCGCGTCTCCCCATTATCACCCAGCGACAGTGCGGAACGGGTCTCGGGGGGAAGCACACCCTGGACTGGCAGCCGGCTGGTTGACCCCGGGGGTCCGGTGTTGGAAAGAAGCCAGGGGCCAGGGAGGCAGAAACAGACCTCCGGGGGTGGGCGAGATGGGGGTCCTGCCCCGGGTGCGCCCCTCTGGGAAGAGGCTTCGTCCAGAAAGAATCGGCCACTGGCGGGTGTGTGAACGACCCCACAGCGCTGGGGGCCCCCGGCTGGCGAGCGGGGATGGCAGAGTCCTGCGCCGCAGCGCCCGTTCGGGTGGGGCGTGGACGGCCCGGGACAGGGCGTCGGTTTCTTGTAGGTCCCCGAGCCGCGGAAGGTGAGGCGAAGACTGCCCGATGCCTCTCGAAGTGGGGTCGGGAGCCTGCCCACACCCTGCAACGTCGGCAGGCGCTGCCCGCAGCGTTGGACAATCGCTTTGTCTAACCGCGCCCGTCGGCAAAACCGGCCCCGGGGCGGTGCGGTGCGGCTCACGTGGGCGGGAGAGCTGGAGGCGGCGTGGGAGGAGGCGGGTGTGCGGGGCCTGCGGGGATCGCGGCGCCGGTGGAGGCGCGGGTGGTGGGCTTCGTGGACGGCCGGGGCCCGGCACCCGGACGCTGTAAATGGCCGTGGCTGTGTCCAGGCCCACCCGGCTGCTACGTTGTCCTCCAAGCCCAGCGGGAGGTGATCGGGGGCTCCCTCCGCTGGATTCCTCGGTTTTATCTCCACCTCAGGCCACACTTCATCTTAGTGGTACCATTTCCAGAGCCGGGTCTGTGTGCTGACTGTGCTTTAAAGGCATTATCGTATTCAGTCCTCAGGACGCCCGAGGGAGTAAGCTTTGTTTTCATCCCTAGACAGTAGGAACCTGAGGCCGAGAAGGTGAAGCACCATGCCCAAGTTCACGGGCAGCAGCACGGTCCAAGGGTTCACCCGTCCTGGCTCTCTCCTTTCTGATGCCTGCCCTCCCCCGCTCTCCACACTCACTGGGTTTTGCTGCTTTCTAGGCTCATCCGCCATATTGTGGGTGGGGGAGTTGGCAGCACCCTGCCCTCTTCCTCCTTTCCTTCGCTGGTGGGGGCCAGCTAGGACTGGGCGCTGGGGTCAGTGCCTGCCTGCCGGCCTGCTGGCGGGAGGCATAGCCGCCAGAATTCCAGCAGAAAGAACCCCGTAGGCATCACCATCATAGGGACCCTTTAGCTCCTGGGAAGTAGAAGCCATAACAGCCTCTTGGAGGACATATGCCCTCCTTGGATCCTGATCTTAGCAAATTAACTCTAAAAACCCATTTTTGAAAAAATTGGGCCAACGGGGACATAATCCATATCTTAATGATACCAGAAAATGACTTGTAATGTGGGTTGGTGTGAAGTAGCAAGAAAATGCCTGCATTTTAGAAATACCTCCTGAAGCCTGCAGGGTGAAAATCACATGCGCACTTCAGCAAAGAAAAAGAAGGGGGGGATGTAGCTGAACATAGCAAAGTATTATTTGTTGAAGATGGTGCTTAGGGACCGCTGTTACCCGCGTTTCACAGGTGCGGAAGCCAGGGCCCGAGAGGTTAAAAGTACCTGATGCTGGGGATTGTGAGCCCAGCAGCCTTGCTCCAAGAGTCTCAGTTCTTAACCCGCACTGGATGGGAGGCTCCGCCTTTAGCAAGGGGCCCGACTGCGGGGCAGAGGATCAGCAGGTGGGGAGCGAGGGGAGCACGTTTACTGGGGTCACACGGGGTCTGGTGCAGAAGGCAGCACGGATGGGACCCCAGGCCGACCATGGGGAGTGCTCCGTGCCAAGAGGCTGCTCATTGTCACTGTTAATGGAACAGGTGTCCCAGACAGGTTCCCGCGTAGGGAGGAAGTGGGCTGGGGGTCGGCGGAAGTGTGTGGTGGGCACCTCCCAGCCCAGGTGCGCCCCCACTTCCGCCGGGGACTGTGTTCTTCACCTGCTGGGGGCGCTCGTGCCTCAGCTCCTCCACCCCCCTAACCCCCCAACCCCCCAACCCCCATTCCGGGCCTTCCAGGCATCCCTCCTGCTCTGCCCCCATGTGCACTCCTGGGATCCAGCCTCAGTTCTCTCTGCACCTGCACTGGAACCTTCCACGGATGGACTTTCAGACAGGGCAGCCCAGGTGCGTGACCCTGCTTCCTCTCCCCGGGCCCAGCAGGCTGACTTCTAGGCTATTGGATGCACTGGCCTCTGGGTAAGATTGCTCTGGAAAAGTCTGCAGTCCAAATACGGTTCCACTCCTGACTCCTGAGTTCCTGCCTGTGTGGGTACATGTGTAGTTTTTGTTCAAACCTCTAGCTTATGCATTGAGGAAGGAAACTCAAGTCACTCCATGGAGCAGACCAGGAATTTCAACAGATTTGTGGGGCTGGGGGCAGACACCATTCGGTTTGATTTTATTATCATGAGCATTCTAATGTATTACTTTTTAATTAAAAATAGGGGCACCTCTGGGTGGCTCAGTCGTTAAGCGTCTACCTTCAGCTCGGGTCATGATCCCAGGGTCCTGGGATCAAGCCCCCCATCGAGCCCCGCATCGGGCTCCCTGCTCAGCGGGAAGCCTGCTTCTCCCTTTCCCACTGCCCCTGCTTGTGTTCCCTCTCGCTGTGTCTCTCTCTGTTAATTAAATAAATAAAATCTTAAGAAAAAGAAATATTAAAAATTAAGGAAGGACACTGACTGCCACCAGGCCACAGGAGTAACAGATGGTTGACCTTGAACTTTTGGGTCACGCAGAGTGAGAGCATTGCAGCCTGGCGGCCGGGCCTCCCTGGGAGCGCCACAGCCTGGGTGGGGGGTGGTGGGAAGCACCCCATCGGTGTCGGGAACTTCAGGCTCTGGTCTTTGTCTTTTCCCTGAGTTGTCATAGGACCTTGGCTTCTTGGGCCTCAGTTTTGCCAGGTGGTCTGTAAAATGTGGGGGGCAGTGTGGATGACCCCAGACAGCGACCTCAGCTGTGACATCTCAGGGTCTTCCGCCTGCCCTGAAGGCCACTGTGCGTATGGGAGGTACGCCCTGCATGAAGTGGGTGCCGCCCGTGACCCTACAGGTCATCCATTCAGCGGGGTCCACTCCAAGCTTGCCGTGCCTGGGCCTGGCTGGCTGCAGAGCTGCTCTGCAGAGGTGGTGGGGTGCAGCTGCACCCCAAGGTACCCCTCAGAACGGTGCTGCTCTAGAGGCCTGTTCGACAGGAGGGGAAGCCGCGCAGCACGGCAGAGGCTCAGAAGAGCACCTGCTTTTCCCCTGAAGCGCGGACGGGACCACCTGCAAAGCCAGCCTGACCCCCTGGGAAGGGCTGCTGGCCTTGGCGAAGGGAACAACTAGGGAGGCCCAGGCCTGGGGAGACCACAAGCTCATGGTGACGCTGGCCGCCCACCCGCATCCTGTGCCCCTGTCCCCTCACCCCCAGCTCAGCCAAGAACTGTTCGCTAGGTTGGCAACAGGATTGGGGCGGGGGACACACGCCAGCCCCCTTCCTAGCTGAGGAAATGAGAGGGAGGGGTCACATCGGGATGAGGGAGGGAGGTCTGGTTCACCTGAGGACACAGCCTGGGTGATGGGGCAGGAGAGTCTGAGGGGAAAGCCGGGGGCATTGAGGTTCTTAGGGAACTGACTGGCTGGGGTGTGCCCCGGAAGGACAGGAAGCCCAGGCCTTTTCTCCTGAGAAGGGTCGGGTCCTGGGGTCTTTACCTCCCTTCCCTACATCCTCAGCCTCTCAGAGCTAGAATTTTCTTAAGGAACTGATGGCTGTTCTTCATGACGCTCCCCCACTGCTCCTCCTTGGCTGGGCGGCACTCTGGAAGGCCACAGGGGTCATCCAGGTAGTTGGTCCTCTTCAAAAGTCCTCTCTCCGCTCAGGGCTGCGTCCAAACCTGCCCAGCCCCCTCACGAGCTCTGCCTGCCACCGCCTGGGCCCTCTGTCTTGGCCTGTGTGGCCTTCTGAGGGGGCTGCCCGGTGCCAGGCAGCTGCCAGGCCAACCTGGGAGCCAGGAGCCCCATCTCTGCTAATCCTGGTGCACAGCTTGCCCCCTGTGAAGGGGACTTGACAGAGACCGTGCACATCATGCCCGGCGCCCCGTCAGCCCTGGGCACAGGCCCTGAGCAAAGCCGTGGCCATTATTACACCACCAGTCCATCTTTTGTGTTCGAAATCTCTCCCCTTGACATTCGCAGGCTCCAACCTCCAGTTCCAGGGTTTTGTGAGCGAACCTGGGCTCCTGGGGGGCTGGCTGGGCCTCCCTGCTGGGCGCTGGGTCGGTCTGAGCTCAGGCGCACCCTCTCTGTCCGCAGTTTCCTGGTGTTTCTCCGGTACCAGTGTTACTATGAGTACCCACTGCTCACCTACCTGGAGTACCCCGTTCTCATCGCACAAGGTAAGGGACCCCTCAACCCCTCCGCCCCCCCCACCCTCGGACCCCCTCCTGCCTCACTCTGGCCTTTGTCTTTCAGATGCCCTCCTCCTGCTGTGCGTCTTCCATTTCAATGGGAACGTGAAAGGGGCAGCACCCTACCTCGCTGTGTATCCTTCTGTCTGCATCCAGGAATCAGATGGGATGGGGCGTTACCTGCCTGCAGTGTGTGTTAAGCAGAGTCCTTTACCAGATATACGTTCTTTTTGGTTAAAAAAGATCCCAAATGCAAGACTCCATGTGAGTGAATATACCTCCCCAACCCAGAGATATTCCAGTGCAGTCCTGCCCCGTAGCCTCCCTTCTGAGGCCAGGGTGCCCACGGCGCGCCCGCGAGCCCAGTGGCTCGTGGACTCAGTACCTCCCTGCTGGCGTGCCACGTGATGGAAGCACCCTGCTCAGAGCCCCCTCGTCCACGTTTATTCTTTAGGGGAAGGGAGACGTTCCTTCTTCCCTGAAAACGTCCCCAAAGTATTTGAAGTGATAATAACGGGAATGTCTAATGCACCTGGTCAGCAGGCTGGCTACTGTCTGCCAGCCTGCGAGCGGGGGGGTTCTCGAATGTTTGTTCGAAGTGAAAATGATGCCCAAGACGTGAGAAGGGTCATGGTGGGGATCCGGTCATGACGCGGACGTGGGCTCACTCACGCGGCATCTTCTGTGAACCAGGGCCCGCTTTCATTTCAACTCTTTGTAAAAACCCGGTTCCTCCCTTGCTGAGAATAACTAAGCTGCTGTGTGTCCCGACTGGGAGACTCACAGGAGGAGGGGCACAGGACAAGCTCCTGTTTATAACCTCCTCCTGTCAGTCGTGATGGACGGTAGGTAGGGTTGCCATATGAACAGGGAACTTTTTCCTAGCAAAAGTACGTCCCAAATATTGCACGGGACATACTTGTACTCAAAGACTATTTTTGTTGATCTGAAATTCAGGTTTAACCGGGTGCACTGTATGTTTACTTGCGAAATCAGGCAACCTGACAAAAAGGTCATCTTGAGGAACTCAGGAGTTGCTGCTCCTGGTTTGGAATGAAGAGCATAAAACTGGGCAAAATTCGTGTAAGAAATTGAATTAGAGTGTGTTTTAAAAACAAGATTTCATCTGCCTAGATTCCAGCTACCTCTTCTGGTGTTGACCAGGTTGCCCAGAATTAGTTCTCCCGACTTTTCAGCCAGGGCACTGTCGATCCCTTCATTTAAATAATGTTATTAATTATAATCATAGCAACCTGGTTGGGTCCCTATGACGTGCCACCAGGCATTGAGGAGGTGGAGAGGACAAGGAGTGTTAAGTCCATTTTGCAGATAAGCAAACTGAGGTCAAAAGGAATGGGACTTGCCCAAGGTCACAGCTGAGGCCCCCGGCCATTATCTCATGTGTTTGCTTCAGCTTGTCCGGCTGGGCTTTCTGTGCCTGCAGCCTCACTGAGCTTGGCGGAAATCCGCTGTCATTTCTCCTGTCTCCCAGCGTTGCTGACGCCAACTGGATTGACACTGGAGTTAGCCGGGAAGGGGGAAGTCAGTGAAGAGAGTTTCACATGACACCTGCAGAACGCGGCTACCCCGTAATGTCGAGCTTCTTTTCGAGTGCTTAACGTTTGACATGGCATTGCACATGTCTGCATGTTCAGGGCTTAAGCGGGCGCTTAGAGTCGTTTGGACCCCCAGCAACAGTCCACAAACACAGGGGGGCTCTTGGCAGTTCTCTTCCACAATCCGCTTCTGCCGTTCCCAGGTCGGCTTAGGTGCAGACTTGGCGTGGAGGCACGGGCCCGGGGTGGGGGGTGGCGGGGCCACCAGTCAAGCCACTGCTGTCTCCCTTAGCGCTGGGTAGATTCGTGGCCTCGTGGTTCGTCCTTCCCCTACAGAAGTGGATCATAGATCTGGCCATGGTAAGTGGATCGCGCCTTGAGGACAGAGTGTGTGAAGTAGTCTGTCCCTCCAGGCCGCCGGTTCCGCAGAGAACTGTGTAGGTCAAATGTTTAACCTGCAAATTTGTCAGCTGTACCAAAGGAACGAAAGCACAGTCTTGTCCAAATGTTAAAAGACCTTATTCTCCCTGAGATGTTTGGCAACATTTTTTACTTTCTTTTGCCGGGGGGCGGGGGGGTGTTGCGTAGAGAACCGGGCTGGGGAGGTACTTAACAATAGTAGATGAAGAACTGGATGTAAGTTAAACAGCTTCTGATCAGCTTGATGATTGCATATTGGCCACAAACTCATTATTTTTCTAACCTTGTCCCCCCACCCCTCCACCCCCAGCAACATTTTCATCCTCCTTGGGAAAGGGTTAGTTCTGTACTTTTTTCCTTCCTTGGTTAAGGGCCAAAAATTCCCATCGTGTGAGAATAGGATTCTAAGGGTGGGTCAGGAACCATTTGGCCCCAGATCTTCTCTCCGAAGACACTGGAGTGTACTTCTCCACCCAACAGGAGAAGGAGAAGAATTGGTGGTCACCAGTCGCTGCCTGCCACACCCAGATTCATGAACTGCAACCCCCTTCCCCCGCATCTTGTCTGTGACCCTTGCTCGGAAAGCGCACTTGACTCCATGTTACATTTCAACCTTGTGACACCTGGAGAGCAATTAGATAGGGTTCACGTGTTAACAACGAAGAATTTTTTAGTATAAGTATGTCCTGAATATTGCACAGGACATACTCATGCTAAAAATTATTTGTTGTTGATTTGAAATTCAAATTTACCTGGGTGTCCTGGAGTTTTATTTGCTAAATCTGTCCGGGCCTTGGTGATGCTCCCCAAGAGAACTACGTCATGATTCTAGAGACGGCGTTTTCTCCAGCGGGTCTCTGGGCTGAGGTGGAGGCGGGCAGACCACAGGCTCGGGCCCGCTCGCCGTGGAGGGCGCTGTCTTACGTCGAGGGGCCGCAGAGGGCCTGAGTCAGCGCAGGAGCCAGTGGACTCGTTGGAACAGCCAGAGACGCAGCGCCCATGTGCCTCAGCCTGCTGTTTGGAGTTTACGAGTCAGTGCGAAGCAGCATGGTTTCCCCCCCGGCTCTAAAACACCGTGTCTGTGTGTCTGTCATCTATCTAATTTCATTGGCAGGTGGTTAGAGAAGCCACTGTGGCCACGCAGTGAGCCCCCCACCCCCCGACCTCCACACCAGCTGCGGCCCATCCGTGGCCCATGGAGCAGCGGAACTGGGCGCGTTTTAAACAAGCGCCTCGCTCTGCCTTCTTTTTCACTCTACCTGGGTTTTGTCCTTGTACAAATTGGTTATCGCTTGCCCTGGTGATGTGGCTTCAAAAGCACTTTCAGTATCTGGTGCTCTTGCTTTTTTAACCGAGGGACTCCTGACTTGCTCATGTTTTCCCTGCAAACAGAATCTAAGTACTTTCATCAGCACAGCCAGCAAGTTTGCTCAGCTCCAGTACCTGTGGAAGACCAGGGACTCGGGAGCCGTGAGCGCCCTGACCTGGAGCCTCGCTTCGTACACCTGTGCGAGTAAGAGCAAGACGCCAGGGGAGGGGCGGATTGGGGGGCATCGCGGGCGGCTACCCAGAAGAGTTTATCACCTTGGCGCCCACCTGTCACAGGCCCACAAGCTTTAATCCTTTGCACGTAGCTATTCACGTAGACCCTCCATAGTTATGACTCTGATATCATGCAGAGTACTTTCCATTCTCTGCAAGATCCATATTCCAGTTGCTAAAGAAAAAAAAGTAAAAGCACACCTTTCTCCAAAAATCTGGCCTAATATCAGCCATCCTCTCTTCTTTGAAAAGCATCAAGAGGTTGATTATGTGGAATTCACTAACTTGTTTTAAATATTTGAATCTTTATGATGTAACAGGTTACAGAGATGAAAGTCATACACTGACTTTTGAGAATGAATATAATTTGCCCCAGTGGAGTTTTTCTGAAGCCTTATTGCTTGGTCTCAGGTTCAGAATTTCCACCGTTCATGTGGATTCTTGCAGGAACTACCTGAAATACATATACGCTATTTTAGGTAGAAAAGTTTTTTAAATTCAGAGCTCTCACATTAATTAGGTTTACTACTTTTAGGTATTTGAATTCTACTTCATATTTCTTCTGTGTCCTAAAGGACCGATTTCTCCATTAAGGGTTGATGGAAGGGGTCTTTGTGTCCCAAGTTATTTAAAATTAAGGCTTCTTGGGTTTTATTTTCAGCTTTAAAATGTTGAAGTGTTATGAAATGTTGAAGTATATGTATGGTTTCTGGAATTGCTAATTAGGTATATTACTTATTAGCGCCCTAATTTTACCTTCAGGAATTATCTTGAAATGCTGCTTATTCGATTTTCTTGTAGGAAATCTTCAGAGACCCTGTAGTACATTTCCATCTGTTTTGCATGGCAGTCTGTGCTTAACAAATACTTAAATACACATTGAATAAATGACACATAACCTGGGGATTATAACTTTATGGGAAGAAACGAACTGGTTTTAAACCTAATTTCCTAGATGCGCGACGTGAGGGGGAGGGAGAGCTTTGTGTGGGTTGGTTCGGGTTAGGAAAAGCAGGTAGCATTCTCCAACTCCCAGCTCACATCTCCCTCGTGCGTCCACTCACACCCATACTCCAGTTTCCTGTGTTCACGAAGTCAAGTGCTATACTGGAAAAATGAATTGAACTGAACTGTTGTAGTTAGACCCTGAGGAAAATCATGCCCTTTGCTGGGCCTCAATGTCCTTTACCTAGAACATTATCTAGAAAAGAAGGGTGTAGAGTTCAGTCATTTAAAAACATTGTTTTTCGCTGGTGGGAGCCTTTCTTTAAATGAAATCTTACCAGAAGCCCCCTATGTAAATGAAATTTTCAAAACTTGCTCTTTGGGGTGGGGGAGCTGTAGGTTGGCACACAAGATGGGCTCAGCTTCTCCCTGCCTTCCTTGGGCAGCACTGAATTACCTTCTAGACACCGTGTCTGCTCTTATGAGCAGCTTCAAAACCAGTGGGCTAGGACGCATGGCTGGATTTGAGCGGTTTTATAAAATATAGTAGATTTAGTATTCTGCACTACCAAAATCTTTTTTAACCAAGATCAGTTAGCATATAGTCCTGTATTTAAAAATGGAAAGACGTTAGCTAAATACCAAAATGCCTTGAGAAGCAAGTTGATATTGCTGTTTTCTTTTACAGCAAGAATAATAACAACTTTAATGACCACGAGTGACCTTACAAGTAAGTACCCCCTTTTTTGAATTGTGTGCCCTTTGTGCCTCCCTCATGTGTAAATTGTCTTATGGTTTCACGGATCAGCTTGCTCCACTGTACGGTGAGAGGCCAGCAAGTTTATTCCTGGACATCAGCCCCACTTATGGGACTAAGCGTCTGTGTCTTGTAGTTTCTGGGATAGAACGTGCAGCACAAGGTAGTAGAGTCCTATCTTCGTGGAGCCTCCGATCTCACAGTGGATGGAGATGGACAGTGGGTTGGAGATGGACATCACGCAACTAACTACTGAAGAATGCTGGGGAATGTGTTTTGGAAGAGTAGGTCAGGATCCAAAGGGGGAATCTGACCGAGTTGGAGGGGCCCAGGGCGGCAAATTTGAAGGGTGAGATGGGGAGAAGGGGAAGAGACAGTGACGGGGCGGCCTGTGTGCAGGTCATGAGCAGGGGACACATGGCTTAGCCACAGACAGCGAATGGGAGCTGAGTGTGCATGTGAGGACGGGGTCTACTGAGCTGACAATCATTTGACCCCCATATCCTTGTTTTTTTTTAAAGGGGGAAAATACTTGGATTGACGTAAAAAGAATTTAGTTAATTCCTTAGGCTGTTTTCCACTCCCAAGTTGAGCATATATATTTTTTGGGATAATGATCAAAACTAACCGTGTCACCTATTCTGTGAAGACTAGGAACATGTCCCTGGCACATAGACCCTTTAAGTAAGCGAATTGTTATTTGAGAAATATTGCTACAGAGCAGTGGGTGCATATGCTGGTCCCTTTGCAGAGGCTTATCTTAGGGTCAAACACCTCCCAGGGCTCCGAGAGAAGCATTAAAACTATTCTGGTCAAAGCCTGAACTTGGGTCAGGTGGGGAAAGGGAAAGACAGGTCTCAGTCTTCTCCGCAGGATCTGAAGGACTCTCTGTATGGGAAGAAGAGTCAAACTGTAATTAACCAACAAAACAAACCCACATATGTAAAAGTTTGAAACATTGAGAATGTTCTAGTTGCAATTTGCTTTGTATTTAAAGTGACACCTGTTCTGAAAGTGATCAGTGTATCTGTGGATCTTTTAAAGACAGTTCAGCTGATACCTTACATGTTTTACAACCACAGAGATACATTAAATCTGATAAATCTTACTTATCAGAAGAGTGTTCATCGGGTCACTTATGGTAAAGTTTTCCCCCCCAGAAATATTCAGAACCAAAGTTGTTCAAAACCTCTCATGATGTGGAGTTCCAAGTTTCGTTGGCAGGCTGAGGGGCAGCTAAGTAGGTTTCTACTTAGAGCAGGAGGTGATTTTGTTTTAGGACGGGAGAACAGTACTTGTTAATACATACTTTTTCTTTTTGATTAATTGCAGTTCTTGTGCGATTTGTGATCATGCTTGCTTTGAACCTGTGGGTAACAGCCACAGTCCGTCACTACAGGATGACAGTTGTAAAGGCTGAATGATGGTGCATTGCTCCAACACACAAAGCAGTTTCCTAATAACTGAACCAAAGGGGAAAATAAGCTCACTGCTAAATCAAGGTCTTCTATAAATTTAGTCAACTGTTTGTTTCAGAAACTTTGAAGCCGGAGCTATTTTAGACATGAGCCACTTAGACACTTGTTTAGAAATGTTAATTCCCTCCCTCTCCTTGGCCTCAGGAGGTGGGGGCAGGGCTCAGACACCTGCAGGTTGAGCATCATGATGAAGTTCTCTCCAAAGAGCCAACTACATCTGGTTTTCAGCTTTCAGAATCTTGTAAGAAATAAATCCTCTCCATGGCACAAAAGATTATGGAGTGGGATTTTTCCCAAAGTCAGAAGTGGAACTGTGGTAAATTACTAGGGTTCACTTTCTGGGACTGTTTAACTGTAACACAGATTTAACAGGCTGGCCTTACTGTATCATAATACAATATAGTACCTCCTAATGCTATAGTAAGGACATGGAGACAAGCAAAAACTGGCTTGAGTTCATATACCAAAGTTAGTCCTTTAACCTTATATAATGCCTTTAAGTAATTCCTAAGGAAAGGTACTATTAGCTGCAGTCTCTACTTAGGATGAGGCAGTTCTGATGAACTTTCTGATATAAGCATAATGCTGCCATTTTTAAAAGTGTCACACCTTTAAAAAAAAACACAAAACACATCTTGTCCATTAATACAGTAAAGGGTATTGCTGGGTTCTGCCAAGTTCTTACAGATTTCATTCTCATTGTATCATATTCTAAACATAAGATTATTGGATAGTGCATTTTACTATAAAAGTTTATAAACCCTAAAATTTAATAATTGAATGGCATTATTGTTATATGTAAGTCAATAGTGTTTGTTAGAAAATGTTTTAGTTTCCTATGTCAAATAAAACTTTCATATTCTGAACTCTGCTGAGTCTTAAAACTGTCAGTTGCTTTAATGTGATTAGTTTTAAGTTATGTAAAATGCTGTTTTAAAAATATAAACTGTGGTTAATGTTTTAGAACTATTGCTTGGAACCAGCAGGAAGAGAAACATCTTTTTGGTATATAAAGATAAATAACAAATCATTCATTCTGTAGCTTTTACAATCATAGTTGTCATTTTATTTTTTTTAAAGATTTATTTGAGAGAGAGCGTGCGCAAGCAGATGGAGGGGTAGAGGGAGAGAAATCTCCAGCAGATTCCTTGCTGAACATGGAGCCTGACTCAGGGCTTGACCTCATGACCCTGAGATCATGACCTGAGCCAAAATCAAGAGTCGGAGGCTCAATCCACTGAGCCACCCAGGTACCCCTATTTCAAAGTAAGCTGTATGCCCAACATGGGGCTCAAACTCATGATCCCAAGATCAAGTCACATGCTGTACTAACTGAGCCGGCCAGGCCCCCTCATAGTTGTCATTTTCAAAAAAAATCCAAGTGATTTTTTTTCATATGCAATTATAATCTAACATTGGTATAAATACAAATTATGTTTTTTGAGTCCAACAAATATTTAGTTTAAATACACTTTTTAATTAGAACTTTATCACTGCTTAAAGCTTCTCTCTTAAGAACATACTATCTTAGGTGAAGAGTTCCCCATTTTTCCTTTTCAGGAGAAAAGGGAACAAATATTTGAACTATTCCAGATATCCTACACACATTACCATATTTAATCCTACAACAATCCTGTAACAAAACAGTCTCAACTTTACAAAAGATGAAAACACTGAAGCTCAGAGGGAATAACCTGTCCCAGATCTGATAGCCAGTAAGTATCCTAAATGAGAACCCACGGATTACCAAAGAAATGCCTTCTCGAAAACTACCTCTCAGCACACACTGTTCCTGACAAAACAGGCACCCTGTGTCCTTTCCTTATCCTGGACACTCAAATAAGATTGTTAGATTTGCATGTCCCTTAAAATACCTAAATCAAATCAGCGACAGACTCCTTGCTGAAATTCTTTTTTGTATTTCTCCATGGACTAAATGACAGGGTGGAGCATTCACAAGTCTGTAACCTTGCTTATGGTTATTTTGCTATACCCATCAAAAAAGGAAGGCAAAATTTGGGGGGATAAATTTTAGATGGTTGCAGCATTCCAAGACTATTCACAGGAAGAGTATGAAAATGCTTATGTCTTAATTTCTTTTATTTAATTTTTTAATATAAAAAGCAGGCATAAAATACAATTACATTACTACAAAGATGCAACAAAATTTTTTTAAAAATCAGGGGGTACGATTTCTGTTCAAAGGGGAGAGCTGATCAAATATTTATGATTATCTAAACCATGCAGTTCATAACTTATTACAATTCCAAACAAAACTCATTATTATGGGGAAGGGAATCGAGGACAGTCCCCCAAGCATAATACCCAGCACTGTCATACAGTGCCTCTTTTCAAAGTGCTTTATGAGTCAACTATGCTTATCTTCACGCCAGACGGAAACTGCAGCCTTCTTCCAGGGGAGGAGACGTGAGTCAGTAGCAGACCGAGAAACTCAGAAGTGACTTGCTCTCATAGAATATTAAACATGTTATTTAAAGCATGTTTCAGGAAGGTAATATAGTGTCTAAGCTTCTCTATTTTACCACGAGAATCCTGTAAGAATAGATTAACAACAGCAGCAAAACTTCTTAAACTGTGGTTTGGCAACCCAGAGTACTTCTTTTTGAGGAACTACAGATAAACTGAAACAAAAGACATCCTTCAGAGCCAGATTTGTGACTCTAGCCTACGTTAGTTTTAAAAACACTAACCTTATTTTAGATTTCTTGGTATCCTTTAGTTAGCTAAAGGCATTTAAAAATTTTCAGATAGTTTTTTTTAAAAAATCTTGCTTCTAGATAGCATATTTTAATACTTTTCAAAAATTCACTATACATTAATTTTTAACAGTAATACCGGCACTAGTTTTCCTTCTACTTCTGTCTCGCTATCCCCACTAAACAAAAGTAAAAAATCCAACTAAGAAAATCCCAGTATTCACTACTTCTTAGTTCTTAATAGGAGGTATTTATGGCTCTAGGAGAAATCAGGTGTGAAGAAATAAGCAACTTTTGGTCTTTTATCTGGGAACCTTTGGAGCCTCAAGAAAAAGAGAAGCTGGCACAAAATCAGGTTGTTAAACCAAGTCAATATTATATTTAACGAGTGTTGGGAAGAGAACATTTGGATGGGTGTATGTATTCATGTATGTACATGAAACCAGCAACGGGGTAAAAAGCAAATTCTTACCCAGGGTCAGAATTTTTATTAAGCGCATTTCCATTAGCTGGAGAAACCACCTTAGAAACCCTTACGTTAAACCATATAATGTGAAGAATCTCCATGGGAGAGATTTTTTTCACCCCCTAGAATACCTTTTTTCCCCCAAAAAACCTCACATTAATTTTCCTTGTAGAGTTGCACCACACCATGATTCTCCGTATTCTCTAATATATACAGCATTCAAAATTTAACTTTTGCCATTTTTACTCAAATATTTCAATTACTCATGTGTAAACTTCAAATTATTTCACCTTAATAAAGTTTATTAAAAATATATATATATATACTCTCCAATTCAGAATAATATGATAGAACCTCCCATAGTGTAACAAAATCTTCATATAAAATATTAATTCAGTCTCCTTTTAACAAGTCTAATGAATGGAAATATTTATTCTATATAAATTTTATATATTTTTCATTTTAAAATCTTACTTAAAAAAACAAAACAAAAAAAAAAACAACGCTGTGCCCTCAAACCAGAACTGCAGAATATCCCTGTGAGGGAAATGGCAGGCATCTCCGGTCTTCGCACAGACAGCGTGGAAGCGTGCAGGCGGGATAATGGAAGAATAACAAGATTCGGTTTCAGTACATCAGCAGGCCAGAGGCCACTCTTCAGTTTCACCACAGTATCTGTATTTTGGGGGTCTAACGCTTTAAACATTTCTACACTGACCCCAGAGGGAATCAATGAAAAATGTCTACTTCCTTCATCAAGATATTAGATGATGTATTTCAATATCACACCAAACCCTGTGTATGTGTATGTATATAAAGAGACTGATAAAAGACTAATTTTTTTAAACTTGATGCTTATCATTAATGCATAATGTAGCAGTATAAAACACATTTTTCTGGGATAATGAGAAAACTAGCAGAAATGGTCCTGCATAACCTATAACTTTAACATAATTTTAAAAAATAATCAGGAGCCTCTGAGGCTACTTCTTCCCAGTTACCAGTTTTCTTAGCCCAATCCTGAAATATTGCCATACACAGTTATGTGTTTGAGGGATCACATTTAAATATTTAAAATATATCTACAGTATGTCTTAGTTTTCTTTATATTTGAGATAATCTTAGAATCTTGAGTGTGAAAATGTAAAAACAGTCACAAATGTCTCTACCAGAAATAAAAACACATCTAGGGTAGCCAGCAAATTCAAAGCAAAGCAAACATCTCATAGTCACACACCAATACTGAGGTCTGTAAGAAGAGTGGGATGAATAATAGATATACATAAAAGATATATTAGTTCCAATAGTATCCATTATTGTTTCTATCACCAATACTTAAAAAAAAATTGTTATACAATCAAAATAGGCTGACATTGATAAGTATTACATGTAAAAATAGTGCACTATTTTTCTTTTGCAAAGCGAATTTGCATCCTAAGAGCTGGTAAACACTTTTTTTCAAAATACAGAAAAGGGTGAGACTTAAAAAAATTAAATTAAGGCATTCACATGGGAAAAGTTGCCTATCATGAAGCATTAGGAAATTGATATAATTAACATCAAACTTCCTGTTACAGTAACTGCTTACACACAAACACACAGCTTCCATGGGGTATACACAAATGAGTGATATAAACTCCAACATTATGGCTTTATACAAGTGCATAGTTGCAACTGCAGTAAGTTATGATATCTGATTAATGTGAATAAAAAAATAAAATGGGGCATTTGAAGAACCCTCTTGCAGTTATTACAGTACTATGTATATTGTGTGTGTGTGTGTGTGTGTGTGCATATAGAGAGAGAGACACATACATGCACACACACAGTCTAATGGTCACTTCTTAAAGATGCAGTCTCTATCACTGTAGTGGAATCCATTCCCAGACTCTTCTGGTAAATGTGCTGGTGAAATCTCTCTGTTGATGCTGAAAAGATGATTTCTTTAAACTTTAACTCTTCTCAGTCCTTTTGTGCAATGTAGTGTGAGTGACTGCCAAGAGAGCTTTATGGAACAAGTTTCGAAGAGCTGCATATGCTATTCTTGCTCTATTAACCAATCATTGTTGGTTCATATATATATATATATACATATATATATATATGTATATATATATGTATGTATGTGTGTGTTTGAGTATCAGTCTCTCAGGAAAATACAGCTTTTTAAGAAATTTTGGGCCATCATATTTCAGTCTTGTTTTAACTGGAAGAATATGATCACCTTGAATAATGACTGCATTCATAGAAGGCAGCTAGCTGGAAAAAAAGGAGAAACAAAGTTAGTTGATAGAGTAAAATAATTTAAGAGATTGTTAAATTCTTTGAAAAAGCATTCCATTTATATAATTAAACTATGTAGTCTTCCAACTCCTATACTTTTAACACCTAAATCATGCATAAAACATATTTACTATATTACTTTTATTTTTAGATACATGCAATTATATTCTTACATATTCCTATATTTTCTACAAACATGACACACAAGTTTTAATACGGTTAACTGGCTATTAGAGTTAGATAACACGCCACTGAGTGACCCAAGTGAATGTAAGTCTGACTTGGAGATTAACCGCTAGCTGCCTCATGTAGCTGAAAAGAACAGAGGGCTTATGGACCAGGTTCTACTTGACTGTTTGACTCTTAGCCACATTTTTTAAATCTATAAAATGGGCACAAACACGTTGTAGTAGTAAATATATGTAAAAAGTACTCTGTATGTCTTGGTTATAAATACCTCCCAATAATATATGATGTAAGTCTATTTTTGCAATATGCTTATTTAGGTTAAGACAGACATTACTTCTTTTAAATCCATTCTGTGTAAAAGGTTTGACCATGAGGTTCAATTTTCACTCAAATCTCCTTGAGCCACGGTTAACCAAACTATTTATGTGTTCTACAAGCACAAGAACTTTCACAGCACATCAATAAGCATTCTTCAGCAAGAGGAACATTAACTTTTCACAGAAAGCAAACATCTCACAGCATGACAAAGAAAAGCGAAATCAGAAACAGTATTTCACAGCACTTACTAGACTTAAAAACTATTTACGGCTTCAATTCTTGCACGTTAGAGAGAAGGAAGGAGGGAAGGAGAGGGGGATGGAGGGAGGAAGGAATCCCATGCTATGTTCACAAACTAATACAGTTGTAGGAACTTGAAAACATTGTAAATTTTACTTCTCTGAATATGGCTTCTTTGGAATGAACAAAAAGTACCAGAATTAGCTTCTTTTGTTATTTGTACATGTTTCATTCCTAAGATAAAAAATTGTAATTCCAACTGTATTGAAAATATATAGCCAATAAAGATTCTGAACATAGCATTTCACTTTTATAACTTAACATGGGAATTTCAGTTAGAAACTTTTCTGAAAACTACTTTTCAAATACATACTATTAAAAACAACTTAATAAACTTTCAAAACTAGTCAAAAACAATGAAAACCCAAGTGCAAATCACATGCACTACTTGGAAATACTAAAATAACTCATTTTTCATTTTTTGATTTACCCCATTTATTTCTTCAGAAATCAAAAACATCGTCATCATCATCACCACCATCAACATCATCAAATGACCAATCCCAGTCTTTAAATGCCAAATCAAGCAATCTGCAATAGGAGGTTTGCAAATTCACATTCTAGCACTCTTTCAAAATGGCAACTTAATATGATAATTATCTAGAAATCACACTTTGTGCTGTGAAGATTTTAACTCTCCCTTCATCAATAACAACATAGTCAAAATTAAGATGGTAGCACACAGGGAGATCTTCTTTCTCTTTATATGTAAGTGCATATAAAATTAGCCAGGTCTGATTTCTAGAATACCAGAGACCTGAAGACAGGTAATATTTAGGGATAAGATATGAGCTTCTCCCCACTGGGCTCAGAAGAAGATGTAACCATCCTGATGCCCAGTTTGATTTGTATGAAAGCTCAACATTTGTCAACACTCCCTTCAAAAACGGACCCAGACTGTCAGCTCACATTTTTCTAGAACAGTACCACAAGTCCCAGTTTAAAGAGAGAGTAATACTAAGAATGCAGCTTTCTCAATTCTAGCTGGACACAATATGCTCAATGGGTCACCAACAGTGATGCTCTCCATGAAAAGCCATGATTAAGAGAAAAACTACAGGTATGTAAGAATCATTAGCAACTTATCTTGGCTGAATAAACTGGACTTAGAACAGGGTTATATGTGGTCTTTTCTTTCCAATCCAATCCAACCATCTAATATCGCTATCATCTTTATTTTTAAAAATAGGTGTAACTTTCATTGTTTTAACTGTGAGGTTTAGGAATCAACTTATGCCAAGAACTCATTTAGTCCCCAAAATCTCATTTGTGACCTCAACTTTAAAGTTGGTTCTTGGGACACCTGGGTAGCTCAGTCAGTTAAGCGTCTGCCTTCGGCTCAGCGCATGACCCTGGAGTTCTGGGAGTGAGCTCTGCATCAGGCTCCCTGGTCATCGGGGAGTCTGCTTCTCCCTCTCCCTCTGCCCCTCCCCCTGCTCCTTCTCTCCCTCTCAAATAAATAAAATCTTTAAAAAAATCATGCTGCTTTTTAAACTTGAATTTATATGGTTTACTCAATGCTGTTTATAATGCATATTTGCAGGTGTTATACCAAGAGATTCTGATATAACTGGACTGAAGGGGGAGTGCAGCGCAAGTATCTGCATTTTTTCAAAAAGATTTTTATTTATTTATTTGAGAGAGAGAGCACAGGCAGGGGGGAGAGGCAGAGGGAGAGGGAGAAGCAGGCTCCCTGCTCAGCAGGGAGCCCGATGCAGAGCTTGATCCCAGGACCCTGGGATCATGACCTGAGCCGAAGGCAGACCCTTAACCGAGTGAGCCACCGTGGTGCCCTGAGTATCTGCATTTTTAAATAAAAAATCTGAAGTGAATTCTAATGCATCTGGTTGACTTTGGTAATCACTGACAGAGTATGTTGATAGATGGTTACCTTAATTGAAAGGAAATAAACCAACTCAAATTATTTCAAAATGTGCTAAATGTAGAATATATCACATTTTTCTAGGCTTACATTACATAGACAGTAACTTGTAGCTAAGGTACTGTTTGGGAGATTGAGATCAGTGGGCCGTCCTGGGTGTTCAAGCCCCAATTTTGAAAAATCTGCGTTTCATACCCTTCCAAAACCTTTGAAGTGTGTGTGAAGTGCGCACCCGTGTCACAGTTTTCAAATTTTTAAAAGTTTGATTACTAGGTTGTTAGCACAATGCCTGGCAAGACGTCCCTTAAAGCCCCATCAGCCCCTGCCAGTTCAGCCATCTAATTCTTGACATTTCAACATGAGAAACTTTCTCTAACTTGGTTTCTTCCCTCCATTTTCACTGTCAGTACCCTAGTGAAGGAGCTCATTAAGTTAACACACACCAATCTCTTGCTGAAAGACTTCTATCTGAAGAACAAAATAAAAACTCCCACAGTATAATGCACTGGGTCCTTTTCAATCTGGTTCAATGCTTTCTCTCCAGTGACATCTTCTGCCACTGCCTGTCATTACCCTCTCCCCACTCTAACCCAATACAATGTTACAAACACATAACACGGAAGTAATTCTGACAACTCGGTACCTCTGCACCTAACATTTTGCCTACCATTGTCTTTTCCCTTATTTTTTTGTCTGGAAAATTACTGAACCTCCCTTTTTGAAGATCTTTCTTGATGCCCTTAGGGAGAATTCTCCATGCTTCCCTGTAACACTCACTCACGCCTCTATTACAAATAACATTTAAAAAAGTACCGTAACTATCTGTTTGATTTTCTATCTCCTCCATTTAATTGATCAGTGGGTACAAACTGCAGGCCTGTGAAACTTACTGCCAAAGACTGCTTTGGAAAGGAGCATTAGAACTTTGAGTTCTGCTAGAAGTATGTGAAACTGCCTGTTTCTTCACATGCTGCCAATAGCACGTTTCTTAATCCTTAACAGTTGGGCAGGTTTTATATTTTACTTTTTTTTTTTTAAAGATTTTATTTATTTATTTGAGAGAGAGAGAGAATGAGAGATAGAAAGCACGAGAGGGAAGAGGGTCAGAGGGAGAAGCAGACTCCCTGCTGAGCAGGAAGCCCAATGCGGGACTCGATCCCGGGACTCCAGGATCATGACCTGAGCCGAAGGCAGTCGCTTAACCAACTGAGCCACCCAGGCGCCCTACATTTTACTTTTAACTTAATTTTAACTTCTTTGCTTAATAATCAAGTTGATCACTTTTTCATATTTATAGTAATGCCTGTGTGTTCCTCACTGATTTTTATATTGGGAAGAGGCAATCTTCTTTTTCTTAATGACTTATATAAGAACTCTGTAGAGAGAGATATAATCCATCTTTCTCATTCACACTGCAAATATATATATGGTGTTTTTAAAATTACAAGGCTTTAATTTTTGGTTACTCAATCATTAACTTTCTTTGCTTTTACTCTTAGGAAGTTCTTCAATCCAAGATCAGATACATATTCACCTATTTTCTTCTGTGTCATTTAATGGATTTATATTTGACATTTCAAGTTGTATACAGCTTTTTCATTTTTATCCAAATAATCAGTCTGTTAACTTTCTAATATTTATAAATGGAAAAGATCAAAACTAAAATAATGATAACATGGGGCACTTGGGTGGCTCAGTTGGTTGAGCATCCAACTCTTGATTTCAGCTCAGGTCATGATCTCAGGGTCATGAGATGGAGCCCCGTATCGGGCTCCGCACTGGGCATGAGGCCTGCTTAAGAGTCTCTCCCTCTGCCCCTCCCCCCCAATAAATAAATAAAATAATGATAACATAATAGCTCCCCCCCACGCTTAGGTTGTAACTGTGTTGGCAATGCTTTATTTCTTAAAACTGGGTAAATGAGCATTTGTTGCATTTTTGCTTTATACTTTTCTGTGTGGCTTAAATATTGCATTTTAAAGAAGACCTTTAAAAGAAAAATAATTAAAGAGAAATGCCCTCAGCAAAGACCAGCATTCTGTGTCCTACTTTGGAACAAACTAAGGCTCTCTCCAAACTATCTTTATCACAAATCAACATTATATTCATAAATTTTCTACTTTTCCAGCATTGTTTTTTTTTTTAATTCAAAATTACCAAGAAAACATTCCTCTGGAATAGCAGTTCTACACATTATGTTTTATAAGCTGTCAATTAATTCATTTCCACTCGTATCACTGTGAGGCAGTGCAGTATTACAGCTGAGAATGCAGGATCTGGAACTAGACTACCCAGATCTGAACTCATGGCTTTGTTGCTTATTTGGTGTGTAATCTCAGATACACAGAGCTTCTGTGCCTTAGCCTCCATGTCTGTTAAATGGAGACATTAAGAGCTAAATCATAGGGTGGTTATGAGGATAAATAATTTAGTACACTTAAAGCTCACAGAAGAGTGCCTGGCATATAATATGCCCTCAAAAATGTTGTCTTCTACAATAGTAACTAACACTTGTTTAACTATCACTTCCCTACAGAAAAAGGGAAGTGCTGCAAAGAGTTAAAAGGCGACGCAGAACCAGGAATGTCACGAAAGCCAAAAGAAAAAAAAATTTAATGGTGTGGTCGTTAACAAAGACAAACACCAAGGAAAAGTAAAAAAAAAAAAAAAAAAATCAGATGATTATTTATAGGTATTATGTTTTAGTGCATATATAAATACATATAAATACATTTGATGATTTTGATAAATGTCTAACAAAGCCAAACATTTGTCTTAAGAAAGACACCATGCGAGTTAGTTCAACTAAAGCTAGACTACACAAAGAGCTAGATATTAAATTACTGCTGATATCGACCAGAAATTCTGTTCCTCGGTGTTCCTGGATGATCCTTTCACAGCTCTACCAATTTGTCTATTGGAATGTTATAAATTAGTGGAATGTTAAAGGCCATCAAGTCCAATGCTTGACTCCCCTTCTAGAGCCATGCTGTTCTGTCAGACTACATACACATGACAAATTGAGGAGGGTGCTCTTTCCCAATGTCACCAAGCAGTCACCTGAATCAGGTACTAACACTGTTGATGCAGGGCATTCACTATTCTAGAGCAAGCAAAGACTTCCAATTTTGGAAATCTCTGACTGCCTGATACTTTTCCCTTGCTGAGTTACAAATGCACCTCTCTGCTTGGTTCTTGTTCTAATACATCATCTACAGAAAAGTCCTCTAAATCTTTACTGCTGTTTACCATCTCCCATCCTTCCAAATAATTTCTTCAGAAGGCTAAATATCCTTAGTTCCTTCACTTGCTGCACATGTAACACTTTCAAATGATCCATTACTCCCTCTGTTATTCTCTTCTGTATACCCTCCAATTTGTGTATACTACTCTTAAAATGTGACACCCAAAATGAAATGCAAACTTTAGGGTGATTCATATAAGACAGACACAGATACAATTTTATGAAGTAATGAAGCAATGGAGTCACAGATGTTAAAGACAATGGAAATAATGCTGCAGACACATAATAAAATACAAAACTGCATCTTAAATGTGCCCATCTTTATGCTTAAAATTTCAAAGAGTATATTAGACAAAAAGTGTTCACAAAAATACCCTATACATCTTAGAGTCAGTTTTGATATTAGCTTTATCTACATGCATAGTTGTGAGAGAAAGAAATCCCTATTACTTACTGTTGCTACGTAAAATGTATTAAAAAATCAATGAAGAATGATTCGAAGGGCAGGGCCAGAACTAAAACAAAACAAAAAGCAACAAAAATAAAAAGTAAATGTGCCTCCAAAAGACCAAAGTGCTAAAGTGGGGAAGAAGGGGATGACAAAGTATTTATAAGTCAGTGAACATGAAAATTGTTATGTAATTGAAAACATGCCTCACTTAGTCTGAAATCCGCTTCCATAAACGAATTCTATGTGTTATCACAAGTAGTAAAATCATTAATTTATCAAACAGTACCAAAGAGTAAAATGTATTAAAGGAGTAGAGTTCTTACAGTCCTGAATCTGAAATTATTTGCCCTTCTAGAGTCTCAATCAAAAAGAAAGATAATAATACCTATCTATTCTACTCCACAGGAGTATTTTCAAGATCAAATGATAGAATATGCAGAAAGCTGAATGAGAGAACAGATTATGGAAGCACTTTGGAAGCTGTGAAGCACTAGATAGTGTAAGCTATTACAATAGCATAGCATCTATGCACTAATAGTTCTACAATATTAATAACAGAAATTTAATTTTTAGATGTTTTGCATATGGCACATGGAATGACCTTCAGTATCTTTGAATTCTTTGAGTTTCTTCAGCTTAATTACTATCATATAATCACTAATTTTACAGTATTTAGTTTTCTCATACCTCACAGAAAAATTCAACATTTTCACTGCTGAAACACCAATTCTACCTTTGTCATTCTAAATTATTTCCTTGAGATAATAGTTTCAAGAAAAGTTTCATATAAGATGTTTGTGGTTAGAATGAAAAGATTTCTGATAATACAGCCAATGCACATCATTATTCATATACTGAAGGTCCTGTGTTAGGGAACAAAAAGGATACCTGAAATTAGATACCTGATCTTACATATTTTATCCTTTAGCTAACTAACCAAATCTTCAAGGTCATTTCAATGAACAGCAATATTTACAAATGCCATAGCTAGTAAGCCAAGAAATGGTTATTCTGAATCAAGAATGAAATGATTATTGTAGCCATATGAAAATATTTCCATCAGAATGTTTTGTGCATTCATCATTATCTGGGAATTTATTCCCTAGTCCCAACTCCGCCTCAAATACAAGGAATGCCCACTTTACACATTAGTTAATATTTGCATTTTTAAGACTGATCTATTGCTCTTTAAATCAGAAACAAGTCATTATTCTAAACTTATAGATGTGAATTAAGAAGATTTCGGTCCTGCTTCCCAAGTCATCCAACATAAAAGAGGCTTAAGAGGTTTGAAATACTAAACCTGACACAGGTCTGTGTGTACACTGTCTACTAAATCATATTTAAAATTAGTCAGTGTGCTTATAAAATCTTAAAATATTATGATTACATACATAAACATGACAAAAATGAGCCCTTTATATATTTTTGGTTGAATTTAATATATGTGTGTGATCTAGTAAACAAATTTGCACTACATTCAACTAAATCAATGAATGAGCCATATACACTAAAACAGTTTCAAACATTTGGTATTCCATGGTTCATTGACATACCAAGCAAAGGGGGACACTACAATTAGGAAAAGTCTGTAGCTGAACATAAATAGCAAAATATTCTAAAAGATACCAATTTTTAATCACATTTTGATTTATTACCTTGGTTTGTTTGGGGCAAGCTGTCGACTTGGCCGTCTAATAGACTGGTTTTGTTGTATCTTCATCGAAGTTCTAGGAGATGACCGTGCAAAAGGGTCTGGAGCTGGAGGCTTTTTAGGGATCTTTTTCACCAACCGACTAACCCACTTCTGCTGCTCTTCTGTAGAATTTGCTAACAACAATAGATTCTTTGCCGTCGAAATATCATAGTAAACTATAAAGAAATATTTGAAAAAAATTAATGTCTAAATTCATCTGAACATAAATATTATTGATGAAGCAAGTAATTACTATTTACCTTTGCAAGGTGCTATAATCTCCTCCTTTTTGTCCATGTGATCTTTATGACATTTAATATGGCAGCGCCGGCACTCTAAAGCAGGAGGAGGTTTAAACATATGCCACAGTGGCTTCATACAAGCCTCACAGTTGGTTGGGAAATGATAGAGAGTAGGAATAAATTCATGTCCTTTATGGCAAATATAATTTGATTTTTCTCCCACTGGCTCCACTGGAAATTCTTGTTCCTTCTTACTTTCTCCTTCATTGGCATACAGAATCTATAAATAGCAAAAAGAATAATGAGTGATTTTCAACAGAAATTATTTTTTACATAGTAACAATTCTTACAGTGTAAATAAAATATTAGCCTAAATCATTCAATGAGAAGAAAATGCATTTGATGTTCAAACATTAGTAGGTTCTGTCTAATCAAGAGCTTCTATGAGAAAAGTCACTGGGACAGTCACTTGGCTCACATTTCAGAAAAAACCTATCTTGTTCAAACATGCCTACTTATTTTCTCCACGATATCTTACTATGTTTTAGCAATTTAATCTGAATAGGCCAAAAGGTAAATTTTCCCTTGATGGGTGTTAGAACGTTTTCCTGGGAGGAAGTGTTCAAAAGAATCCCCCGAAGAGATGTGGCAATTATACAGATTGATACTCTACGATTCTCAAAAACAGGCGCGTGATAACTGCAAACACAGCTTTAACGGAAAGATTTGTATTTGGAGAGCTGAGGAAGAAAAGAGGAAAGGATGTATAATACACTCCAAATAAACATCATAAGCATACAGAAAATAAGTCGCCAACTCTCCCACAGTACACCAAGCACAACAGCTTTTATATAGAAGGAACTCAGTAACTAATTATTGGTTTGACTAATTTTAAAAATGGAAGTAGAGAGGGAAGAATTTGGCTTCACTTTAAATTGGAAGCAAAACGGTTACTGGGTGCAGAATTTAACTTCATAAGCAACTTTTTTAATTTTCTAGAGAGCTAAGCACAAAACCAGAAACAGAAGAGAAAAAAAAACATCCTAACAGGGGTGCCTGGCTGGCTCAGTCAGTAAAGTATGTAACTCTTGATCTTGGGGTTGTGAGTTCGAGCTCCACGTTGGGTGTAGAGATTACTTAAAAATAAAAAAAACTTAAAAAAAAAGCAAATAAAATAAAATTAAAATGTCATAACACACCTTGAAAACAAGGACAGCAAAGGCCAGAAAGATGATATAAACACACTAAACTTTAACAAGTGCAGTGGAGAGAGGAATGAAGATGTATCCAAACAGAATAAGCATGAAAGACAGAAAAAACAAATGACCTTTAAATGGGACTAAAATTGAAGGGTAACATAAAGAAGGCCCAAGAATAAAGAAATTTGCTATGTCTTGTCATACTGAGAACCTTAGTCTAAAGGTGAAAAAAAAAAAAAATAAATTCAACCAACCAAAAACAATAAAGCTATTTACCTGAAATATCCTTGGAATTTCTTTAGCATCTGCTCTATATACATCTGTCTGTGTAACTGGTCGGACATGAAATAATTTGCTATAAAAGATTTTTAATAAAGTAATAAAATATTACCAAAGGATCAAATTACATTAGTTATCCTATATTTATGTCAGAAGTTAAAACTGACTTTCAACCCATGTTAGAAGGTCAGAGGATACCTTCTTGGTTCTATTAATTCAATCACTCCTTGAGATTTTGAGTATTTCCAGGAACTCAAAAATTTTCTAATTAGTTTCAGAGAACAACATATTAAAGACCCATGAAATAAAGATGTTTTAGCTAACTCTATATCCCAGACTTTCATCTCTATGAAGCAAATACAAGAAAATGTAAAACAGTATAGTACGAGCTATACTATATGAGCCTATCTATTTACATACTATATGAGTAATAAATACCACTAATTTGACAAAAAAGGTCACATTACTCTCTTTAAAAAAGAAAGTTTCTAAATATTCTAATAAAAACACTTACTCTATATCTAAAACCATGTAAGGATTAGATTGTTCTTTATCTTGTTCACTGTCATAGAAAAGAATCTTCTTACTGCTTACAATCACATACTGTTAAAGAGAGGGAGGGAAGGAATTAATGACTAAAGTTAATATATACCTTATTTATTTTCTTTGAAAATAAATTCTACAGCAATAAAAATCTTATAAAATACTTAAATAACTAAGAAGTTCTCAATATATCCTTAGAAAAGTCTTCCTTAAAATAACAATAAATTTAGTTTGCATACATTTTAAATAAGCAAATTGGAGAGGAAATAAATACAAATATTTTTTGGGTTGACTTAGCTTCAAAATCCAGTAACACAGGTAACCTTATTGCTATGGTTTGAATGTCTGTGTTCCGCCCAAATTTTTATGTAAAACCCTAACACCTAATGAGATGGTGTTAGCGGGAGGGGCCTTTGGAGGTGAATGAATAGGCCATGAGAGGAGAGACCTCCTTAATGGGATTAGTGCCCTTATAAAAGGGGCTCCAGAGATCCCTAGCCCCTTCCCCCATGTGAGGACACAGCAAGAAGTCTGCAAACTGAAAGAGGGCCTTCACCAGAACCCAACCATTTGGCATCCTGATCTTAACCTCCAGGCCCCAGAACTGTGAGAAATAAATTTCTATTGTTCATACACTACCCAGTCTGTTTTGTTATAGCAGCCTGAATACACTGAGACATTTACCAAAAATGAACATCATAATATCAATAAATCATAGTAACAGAGGAAAAGAAATTAACAGGTCTTTCTATCATACCCACAGTTGTTTTCCCACTGAAACAGCAAAACACCAAGGCCAACAGATTTATGTTTTCCTAACACCAAAACCTGTTTTATTATGATGATGATGAAAGGTTTTTTTTTCCCTTCACAAAGATACATTTTATCACATCATTCCAAGTCAGGAAGTGCCAAGTTTTATGTGTCTAAAAGTTCTAGTTATATATATCTTACAATTACAAATGTAAAACGGCTAGAGCTAAACCAAAAGCAAATAAAAGAACCATATTCACAAGTATCAATTACCTTTTTAACCCATCCAAACTTTTTAGTGTTGTTTCGTACAGGCAACGAAAGCCATCCTTCTAGTCTTGATTCTATAAATAAGCAGAAGATATGAGGATAAATTTACCAATTCTCCTAAGAAAATGAGGAATTCAGATATAAAATCAGATATAAAAATCACAGAACATATCAAATATGCCCTTCAGAATTTATCATTACACATTATCTAGGCTATAACAATTAAGCAGGATCAGTATAAGCAAGTTATGGAATGCCAAACAAAATCCAGGTTACAGTACATTGAAAATACATATTCTATAGCTTATAAAGTCAAATGCTCCCTGCTGATTAAATTCATGCATCTGCAAAGTTCAGCAGAAAAGGTACAAGAAAGAGAAGAAGTTCTCTATTCCCACTAGTGCACCTGTATTAGAATTCTTTATTTTTCCTTTGGAGGCCTATTTATTGATATAGTGCATATGCATCTTCTTCAAAGAGAACACATTTTAAGTGAGTAATTACATGTTCAGAGAAAATGGATTTTTTAAATGGCTAAAATAAAATGAAATAAAATTGTGTATATTACAGATCAAATTTGGTTAATGAATAGCAATATAACTAAAACATTTCTAAATTCCGAAATAGCAAAATCAGTAAAATTCTAGTTCAACAAAGGAAACTGCCTGAATCCTCAGAATTTGTTCCAATGGCATCTGATCAGTACCATTTAATGAAATAATTAGGTGCAACAAGTATTTCTGGAGGTTATTCTTAACAGTCACTTACTGAACTGTGCTACATGCTTAACATCAATTTTCTTTAATCCTTACAACCCCACAGAAAGGTTACAAAGGGATGCACCTCTGACTCCAGAACCTATACTCTTACTCTCTCACATCAACAACCTTCTAGACTCTTTGAACAGAAATGCTGTCATTAAAAACAGCCTATATGGGGTGCCTGGGTGGCTCAGATGGTTAAGCGTCTGCCTTCGGCTCAGGTCATGATCCCAGGGTCCTGGGATCGAGTCCCACATCGGGCTCCCTGCTCAGCGGGGAGCCTGCTTCTCCCTCTGCCTGCTGTACCCCCTGCCTTCTCTCTCTCTGTCTCTCATGAATAAATAAATAAAATCTTTAAAAAAAAAAAAAAAAAACAGCCTATATAACATAACTGTGTCGACGTGGCCCTATACTAAATCAGATCATCTCTAACAACGAGTACACTGAATTTTATTGCTAAAATCTAAAACTTCAATACAATCGCCTGTGACTTATGTTATATATGGTTATATAGCTGGGCAATGTGACAACAATGTAAATAACTATAGCTATTTCACTTTGCATTCAATTAGGTAAGAGACAAAATTCTACCTTATATTCAACTGCTTATACACTAATTTCCTATGGCATTTACATTAAACATGGTTTGTACTTATACGAACTTTGTGTTAAAAGAGATTTTATATTTTTCCATCTAGTTTCTTCACTTAAACTCTTAAGTCCTTTCAGGGCAAAGACTGGGCCAAATTGTCTTAAACTCTCTTTTATGGCCTAACACAACACTGACTAAACACTCAATGAAAACCTACATACATCTTCTCAAACAGTCTAGGTGGGTTTTTTTGTACTGTCACTCTTAATATGAAACTTCAGAAAGAATTTCTCGTTGGCTGAAAACGGATGACACAGGCAGTAAAACCATATGCTCTTAAATGATATAAAGTTGACAAAATAAGTCTATCAGATGTAATAGCAATGCCATATGACAATACCTTTAAAAATTCTTTGTTCATGCAGCATTTTCTTTTTAACTGAGACCAGCACAATTTGTTAGAGTTAGTGAATATTAGTTAATGTTATAAAAATTTTGTAAAAGGACTGAAATTAAGGGTAGTGGGGAAAACCCCAAAGGTGAAAGATTTTCAGGATATCACCTGTACCATTAGGTTCCGATGAAATAGGTAAGTAAGGCAAAGATTCTTCTTCTGAGTCAGAATCAGAGTCAAGAAGCATATGAGAACTGGAAGGCTTAGTGGCAATATTGAGAGAAGTAGAGGAACGTTGGTAGGTGAATGACATGGATTCCATAGTGCGTGACTGAGTGATATGAACTAAACACCCAACATAAAAGGAAGTAAGAATGCAGAAAGAAGTTAAGAGAAAATAAAATGAAAATTTGAAAAAAGAGCTACCTATAATATATAAAGAGCTAATTTAAGTAACTGAATATGTGGAATTTTCTTTTGCATTTTTTTCACAAGAATTTTTGTCAAAAATCAATAAATAAAGTTTAAACAGTTGTTTGAATCCCCACTCCAAAGAGTATGTTTTTTCTTAAAGAAATGACAAACATTTTTCTCAGGAGCAGTCAATCTCAGGGCTTAACACAATCAACAGCTTTATATTTAAGACAAAGGCTTTCAATAAAAATAACATAAAAGCTGAAAATAAATCTGTACCGGGAAATCCATCATCTGCCTCAGCATCCCCTGGTCCACTGCCTATACTGGAACTATCCAGACCGATATGTAACGCCTGGAGCTGTGACCGCAGCTGCTCAATGTCACTGTCTTTACTGTCCAGTGTCATCTGCAGTTCAATTCGAATCTGGCTCTCTTCAGCTATTTGCTACAAGAGATTACATTAAATTAATTGGATGTCACATACCGCATAATTTTGCTTAATTCTACTGAAATGTTCTATAACCAATAAAATATATATAGACATAAAAATACTTCTACTTCTTAAAAAGAAGTCTTCAATGTAGAGTTCAAAAAGTATTCTTACAGCCTGCATTTCATTCAATTCTTTCTGATACTTGATCATCTGCTGGGTCAATTTTTCACGTTCAGATTTAAGCTCCATATGTAGCTTTCTGTTCTCTTTCTCTTTTCTCCGCACATCAGTGTCACTACCACGCTTGACAGGTTCTTTTCGATTCATTATCTCAGCCAACTTATTCACAGCCTTAAAAATATAAAAATAAGTATGTAATCAAATAAAATAAATCATATTGATGGTTCCTGATATTTCACCAATAGCAAGTTATATGACCAATAATAATCTTCCCTTCACACACAGGGTAACAGAGAAACACGGTCTATATTAAATAATACAGTCCTTCATTATTCATTATCCTTCTCCTTCTTCTTAGTTTTTCACTCTCATGTTTTCTGAGGAATGTAATTTAAAATGTTTATAGGTTGGATCTGATGTCACTTTCTACCACTTTGAGTTTTTAGTTTCAAGAGAGACTTTTAACTGGGCAGATCCACTTTTATCCTGGAGGAAGAAAATTTTGCATTGGCGGCATCACAGTAGTAAAATACAGTATGTCCAACCAGAGAACTGAGCATCTGGGACCCACAAAGATTCATGCTGTAAATACACAACCACAGAGTTGGCAAAAGATGGTTCAAGAGCCAAAGGTGCCTTTTCAGACTAACCCTTTCTCAGGCTGTCAGCAAATGTTCACTCTAATTTCTTAAAAGCAAAAAAATTTACCAGATGACAATAAAAATTTAGGAGGGAATGTGATTTCAATATGGAAAAATTAAGGAAACTTAAAGTAAACACTGAACTGGACAATGTTAGCCAAATCTAGCTGCTCGCAACTGGGCAAAAACCAGGGAATTGTGATGGTTCACAAATACTGATATACTCAATGACCGCTACAGTCAATCTGCAGAGGGAGACTAAAAAATTTTCCAAATCCTCTTTATACTTTATCACACTCACTTGAGTTTTAAGTGTTCTCTCTGTGAGCAGCTGCTTCTCAAACTGTGCTTTAATAGCGGCTGCGCTGATCTCCTCATCTTTCAACCGTGACAGCTCTGAAACACGGGGAAATGTCAAGATTATATTAATAACTACAGAAGTGACAAAACATTAGCCATATTTAAAACAAATTTTATTCTTTGTTAATACATACGTTCTTGGGCATCTTTCAATTTGTTATTTAATTCTTCTTTCTCATTTGCAAGATTGGCAACATCACTAGTTAGTGTCCTATTTGTTTCTTCAAGCTAAAATATGAAGTGGGAAAAAAAAATCATATCCCAATTTACAAAATCTAAGTTATAAAGCAATTACTCAAAATAAAAATAGACTAGAATGCTGCTAAAACTCTTATTTTTCTAAGTACATCTATCTCTACATTTTGTGGCTTTGTGGAACCTTACGGAACTTCACCCTTGATGAAAATTGCGCTAACCATCACAGACTTTGTGTGCACCCCAGAAAGCCAAAACCTGCTCCTTCTCTCAAAAATCCTTAGCAGCATTTTTAATGAGAAAAACATTTAATAAACTAAAAACAAACATTATAACAAAGCTCTGCATTTCATCATGTAGAATAAACAAATTTTAAAACGGTAGTATTTCTTTCATAACATTTTAAAACAAAATTTTACTAAAGAAGCTGACATCCTTGTTTATTATTCTCTCCAAATCCTACTCCTACTCTTCCTTCCCATCCAAAAGAAATTGTATTGTGAATTACCTGTTCATCCTTCCCACCCATGACTATATACTTTTGTTACAAACACATACAACAGTAAATAGTGTGGTTTTATGTGATTTTAAATTGTCCATAAACAGCATCACACTGTATCTTTCTGTAATTGCTTTCACTGGACATTATATTAAGAATTAAACTGTTGGCATATAAAGATCTTTTTTTTTTTTAAGATTTTATTTATTTGACAGACAGAGACACAGCGAGGAGGGAACACAAGCAGGGGGAGGGACAGAGGGAGAAGCAGGCTTCCTGGAGAGCAGGGAGATGGATGCGGGGCTTGATCCCACAACCCCAGGATCATGACCTGAGCTGAAGGCAGATGCTTAACGACTGAGCCACCCCGGCGCCCCCTGGCATATAAAGATCTTAATTAATTTAACTGATACAGTAGTTCCATCTTCTACCTCATTTCATTTATCCATTCATTCGTCTATTGATAAGACATTTGAATTTTGGGGGTGTCTGGGTGGCGCAGTCAGTTAAGCATCTGCCTTC